CCTCAAGCTGAGTGAAGATTTTCTTAATATGCCTAAAACATCCTTCAGCAATTTCCATGTCTTCATCATAAGATCTGCCTTTAAAAATGGGCTGAGGAGCATTTGCAAAATATTCATGGAAAGGGAAGAAGGTAGAGATTTCTGTGACATCTGGCAGTGCACTACCTTTATTTTTCACTTTGCTGATATATTCTTCCCAACGAGACATCACCTGATATAAGAAGAAATAGCCCGCAGTTTCACAGGTGTATGAGGCATCTCCTGGAACACCTAGGCTTTTTTGCAATCGTTTGACTTCTTCTAAAAGTTCTATTCTTCGAGCCAGGACATAATTAACTCTTCCATATCTGCTGAAATCTTTCTCAGTCTCTAGTTCTTCTTCTCCATGACCAAGACGGAGTAGGTGACGCTCGTCAATGTCTAAAGCCATGATCTTTTCAAACAACTGGTTCAGGGCCTGATTGGAATGAGTAACAATAAGAGTCCTCTGTTCCGGGAAATTGTGGTAGATGTTGGATATGATTTGGACTGCCACATCTGTTTTTCCTGTACCAGGTGGGCCCACAACCATAGTTAGCCCAGGCTGCATCCCAGCACGGATGGCTTCTATCTGTGTATGAGTGAACTGAATTGTATTACGTTTGGGTTGGCTATAAGGGTAAGGACCCCTGTTAGGAATAACATGAGGTTCCACAATTAAAGTCTTCACCTCTTCAGGGTCCTCATCAGCACTATCTGCATCTTTCCTTTTCATTCCCTTTCCGCTTCTTACTGGAAAGGTAATCCTGAAAGGGGGTATCTGTAGAGCTGCGTCATCCACAGTTACTTTAACATTATGACCAGGAAAGCTGGCCTTTAAATGCTCAATGGAGAGAAATGTATCATTGAAATCAAGGGTGGCAATCTGATTGGGCATTTTTGAATAATGGGCACTGCTTGGGTCTTCATAACCTAAAATGATATCATGCAGCCAGTCAGGTACCACACAATCGGTATTCATCAGGTTCCGAATAGTCTCCAGCACAGCCTCGAAGTTATTTTCTTTTGGTTTTCTCCTCATTATTATATTGAAAGTGTCATACACATCTTCTGCTCCACTTTGGATAGTATTGGTCATATCCTGCTGATACTGGTTTGGATCCAAAAACACTTGAAATGTCCTTGATTCTCCTCGAAGATTAGGTCTGGGCTCAGGTCCATCCTCAATGACACGCCCTTTATCATCCAGCATGCCCTGGATTTCACAGCCTCTGACATAAACCAAGCCGACCTGCTCAATAAAAGGTCTCCTGCAGTCAAATTTAGTACCATATGGTTTTGTGGAACGCACAGTAATCAAAAAGCATACATCATGTTTACGAAGACCTTCCCATTCATCTTTGATGTGATCTCTGACATTCAGATTGATGGTCACATCTGCATGAACTCGGGTTGGCCAGTTTTCACCTATGTTGGGTTTGGCAACCTCCACTACAGTGAAAGCAACAAGGGGCTGGGCCATCCGTGCCCAGCCACCAAACACGACACCGCCATACTCAGACTGCCATGGCTTCATTCTGCTGACGCTGTCCTCGATGTCTTGCCTAATCTCATAAGTTGATTCTAGGTGAAAGAGGTTAAAATTCCTTAGGAGGTAGTCATGAAGAGTTAGAAACTGCAGATTTAACTTGGGAAGAGCAAGACAACCTTCTCCAGAATAGTACTCAGTTGGGACAATATTTTCATCCCATATAATTTTCTCAGTGGGATACAAAGGCATCTGATTCAACTGCTGAATCTGAGAAATGCGACGTTAGTGATGAGATACCAGCAATTCTAGAAGAAATTCTTTATCAAAAGTTGTGTCTTCATTTTTAGGAAGGGTAGGCAACAAGCAGAGGTATGATGCCACCTCATGGAGTGTGTTTGAACTAAGAGGTCCAAAAATCTTGACCAGCGATTCTCGAGTGTCTACCTCTGCAACATTTGAAAGGGCAAATTCATAGAGTTCAGGGAAATGTGCAAAAGCAGCTCTCTGTAAAGAAGTAATTCTGTCATAGTGAATTGTGGTCATCTCGTTCTCTGTCAGGGCATTCCCAGTTTGATCATTAATTTCAAAACCAGTATAGAACTTAAGCATGTCCAAAAGCTGGGGAAAAAGATGGCCATTTTCTTCCCTATGAAAAAGGTTGGAAAGGTAACAAACAGTGAACCAAAAGGTGGGAGTCATCTAGGATGGTGTTAAACCACCTTCTTGTGGGGAGCAAGGCCTCTAGGTCAATCATAAGTTCAATGAATCTCTCACAGTAATGAACTTTGTCCATAGTGACAGGTTCAGAAAGTGGGACAGATTTCAGCACAGAGATAAACTTCTGGATGAGTTGTGAAAGAAATCTTCTCTCTTGATAGGCCTGTTCTCTGGCTTCTGGGTCCATCTTTTCATCGTTCTTTTTAATCAAGTTCCAGAATTTCCTTAGCTTGGGTGTCTTTTTTAATTCTAATTCCAATCGTGCAGCCTGTAAGCCCATCCACATGGGGAGGGAGATAAGCTGCTGCACTTGACTTTGTATCAAGTCTACTTCCAAACTGTTGAATCAATGATCAAGAAAAAGCAGCAGGACTGTCTGTTCATGGAGGGAAAATTCACCGTCAGTGTCAGCCAGCGCTGCTGTCAGGATACACTTAAAAAAGAATGGAAAGTAGTCTGGCTTCTTCTTAAAAGTCTCCCATGCAGGAACATTTTCTCTGAACTTCTCATTCACCATACAGCAGATGGACATTAAATAAGCCTTGCTGGACATCTCTGGAGAATAATTCATCCAGAGATAATTCTCAAGATACTGGCTAAATTCCAGCAGCATTATCTTTCTGATGGCAAACCTTGATTTGACAATTTCTTTCTCATATATCTCTTCAATCACCTTTATATCAAAAGGTGACTTTTTCTTGATGTGAGGAGCCCAGTACTTGCACGCCAACTGTGTCACGAACTCCGCGTTGATCTGGGACACCGTGGGCGCCACGATCTTCTTGGGCTGCGCAGGGGCCGCCATCGCTGCACTCTCCTGCTGCTGCGGGGGGAAATGAAAGCTCCGCCAGGCAGCGGGGAGCAGCGCGCTCCTGAGTACCTGCGGTGGCGCCGAGGCCACGACCTAGACCCCGCGGGAAGACACTCCCACGGCCTCCACGAGCCCGCCAACAACCTGGACAGCAGTCCTTAATGCCTTTTTTTCTATCAGTGTTTTATATACTTTAAAGATAAAAGAAAAGAAAAAAGAAAAGAAAAAAGCATCGTTCTATTGTCTTTTTAATTACTAATATAATTTCTAGGGTTTTTTTTTGGGGGGGACATAGTAATCATGTATTCAGCTCTTTTTAAAGTGGATATATTAAATTGTATATGATTTTCATGTACCATGCAATGTTTAGAAATACATATGGATTTGTTCAATCAAGCTAATTAACAATTGTGTTACCTCACAAAGCTGTTATTTTTGTAGCAAAACACTCACTAGTCACTCAGCATTTCTCAAGAACACAATGCATCTTCATTAACATATTCACCCTGATGTACTTCACCTTTTGCTCCCTTTAATCTAATTGCAATTATGTATCTTTTGACAAATATCTTCCCCCTGATTGCCTTAATATCTGATAACAACCACTGTGCTCCAAACTTCCCGTGTGATCAGCACTTTTAGGTTCCCACATATAAATGAGGCCATAAAATATTGTCTCTTTGTGTCTAGCTTATTTCACTTAACATAATGTCCTGTTACATTCATGATGTCACATATAGTAAGACTTCATTTTTTTTAGAGTCATGAAGTGGAATTTCTTTATTGACTTGTAAAATATTTGACCTATTGTATTTACTCCATAATTTTATTGAGAAACAAATAGCAATGAGACAGTTTCAAGTCAAATTGGTAGGACAGTTTCAATAATTAACACATTGCATACATTCTTCCTAGTGGTTAATTGGTGTACAAGATGCAGACATGAT